AAGGTGGCAATAAAGTTTTTTGTGCACTATTTTAAATTGCACGTGAACTTTATGGTCACCTTGTATTTTAAAATTTATTGTTTAAACACCAAGAGTTATAAGAAAAATAAACATAACTTACTTAAACTATTTCTTCCTCCAATCAATAAAGTTTGGTATAGGAAAACATAATTTTATTTATATAGTGAGATACCTTCCCTATGTAAATACTAAAACAGGAAATGCCTTACTTTATGGCTGCTTCCTCATAATGCAATAGTGAGAGGCTAATGAAGCCACGTAAGTCTAAGGTGAGGGATGATAGCAAGGGGGAGGATTATGATCTACTAGAAGTAGTAAGAGATACAGGAGATACAAGTTGGCCAAGGAGAAAGGAATTACCACTATTTGTATTGGTTTATAAGGCTTTGGGGTAGAGCGAGAACACTGCTGCTAGTCTTGGAAACATCGTTCATCTTTTTCATAGCACTGTGTAATATAGGGTGGACATAAAGTCCATGTGCAACTTAAATCGGGTAACATGGTAAACCACACATGAACTTTACCTCCACCCTGTATTCTGCATCCAGTGGTTGACATTAACAAATATTATGAAGCATTTTGTTTCACTTTTTTGGAATTGTGGTGCTCTTTTCATTTATTTATTTATTTATTAAGACAGAGTCTCACTTTATTGCCCTCAGTAGAGTGCTGTGGTGTCACACAGCTCACAGTAACCTCCAACTCCTAGGCTTAGGCGATTCTCTTGCCTCCGCCTCCTGAGTAGCTGGGACTACAGGTCCCTGCCACAACACCCAGCTATTTTTTGTTGCAGTTTGGCTGGGGCTGGGTTTGAAACCACCACCCTTGGTATATTGGGCCAGCACCCTATTCATTGAGCCACAGGTGCCACCCATCATTTTTTAAAATTTATTTTTATTAAGTCATATACACATAGATCATGAATACATTTATGCATATGTGGGGTACAGTGTGTTTTTTTTTTTGTTTGTTTGTTTTTTGCACTGGGAGATTGAAACAATTAGAAGAGAAATAGTTAGGCTCTGGGGCATCGTGTGTGTTTGACCCTTTCCTGCTGCTGCCTCTTGTTTCTGGACTGCAGGATACGTGGATTGCTTTCCCTGTCCACCTTCATCCTCACCCACCTCTCTTGGATCTAATTTGACTTGGTGAGCTTCTTTGGTAGTGATGGAGATTTCTCAACATTACTGTTTAATTGGGCAAGCTATGATAGTTGACTTTTTATTTATGATTGACATGAGGTCTGCCAAGCAATTAAATAAAGCAAGATTACAAGACACTTCTGATGGTTAGTATTAATTGCTTTCTGTGTGCTATACTAAGGTCTGTGCATGCACTCTAGTTCTCAACCTGTGGTCGTGACCCACAGGAACCACATTAAAGGGCCGTGGCATTAGGACGGTTGAGAACCACTGCTTTACAGCATTTGTATGAGGTAAACATTAATTTTTATATTTCATGGATGAAGAAAATGATGCTTAGGAAGTTGAAGTAACTTGGCCCAAATGACTGTAAGTAGCAGGACTGACCGGTGGTGCCCTTGGCTGTTTAACCTTCTAGTCCTCATTCTTGAACAATATTTCCTCTATGAGAAAATGCTTTTCTAATCTCCAGTAACTAATTCAGTACAGAATAAATACAATTTTATAAAGGAATTTTGTAATAAAGAAGGTCCATGGTTATGTTTTACTTACTTGCTCACACTGGTGCATAATTGTGATTTTTACTCTTTTCCTACAAACCATCTTTGCTTTAGTGTCAACTAAATATTTTTTAATACATTGAAGAATGAATTTTTAGATGAAATTGAACTGGGCAAGGTGGCTCATGCCTATAATTCTAGCATTTTGGGAGTCCAAGGTGGGAGAATTGCTTAAGGTCAGGAGTTCAACACAGCCTAAGCAAGAGCTAGACTCAGTCTCTACTAGAAATAGAAAAAACTAGCTGGGGACTGTGGTGGGTGCCTGTAGTCTCAGCTACTTGGGAGGCTAGTTCAGGAGGATAGCTTGAACCCAGGAGTTTGAGGTTGCTGTGAGCTAGGCTAATCCTAGCATTCTAGCCTGGGCAACAGAGTCAAAACCAAAAAGACTTAATTGTAATATTTGTCTCATCTGCCTTGAAATGCTTTTGCCAACAACTTTACATTCCATAGAGTATTGCTAACATGTGGTCTGTATTAGGTATTCAGAAACATGCTTATGGAATGGAGTCTAACATAATGCTGTTCTCCTAAGCTTTGGAAGACCTTTTGGATATTATATATTGCCACGAAGCCTGACTTTACATCTTGCAAATGCAGGGTATGAGGAAGAGAGAATAGTTTATAGATTGGTAACTATAAAAGATTTCAAATTATGACAGATCAAATAAATTTTTTCAAAAAAATTTTTGTATGAGACAGAGTCTCACTCTGTTACCAGGGCCTAGAGTGCAGTGGCATCATCATAGCTCAAGCAACCTCAATCTCCTGTGTTAAAGAGAGCCTCCTGCCTCAGCCTGCTGAGAAGCTGGGAGTGCAGTTGCCTGCCACACCGCCAGGCTAATTTTTTCTATTATTGGCAGAGATGGGATATTGATCTTGTTCAGGCTGATCTTGAATTCCTGAAGTCAAGAACTCCTCCTGCCTTGTCCTTCAAGAGCACTAGGATTACAGGCACAAGCCACTTTGCCCACCCTTATTCAATTTTTGAGCAGTGTAATTGTTAAATGCAGATAAACTGCTGCTCTAGTTATCGTCCCTGTGAAACTTCCTACTCTCAAATGCCAGGTTTGCTACACACTGACTTCAGGTTCCCTTCCTCCAGTGCAGTGGTTCTCAACCTTCCTAATGCCGCAATGTTTTTTCATTGTTACAAAGGGGTTGTGACCCACAGGTTGAGAACCACTGCTCTAGTACCTGTATTTGATTTCACCAATATAGGCAGAAATATAAAGCCAGTTTTTAATCCTGTCTTTGAATCTAGGTGTGGTTAGCAGTGACTTGTGGTTGCTAAATCTTAAAGTTCTACATTTAGCGATTTAAAAATAGATCAGTGGCTTTTTGCACTCTTTGTGCCATTCTTAGTAGCATAAATGAAGCTTCCATGTCTTGGACAGTAAAAGCCATGGAGAAGAAAACTGATTAGTTTGGACAATCAATGGTGCTTAATGGAGTCATCTTGGGTGGATTTAGAGGTAGGTAGGAACGTGGAAACCCACTTTACTCCACACTGGTTGACTTGGATTTTGATGGAAGACTGATGTAAATACCTCTCCTACTGCTCTTGGTTTACCAGCCCCAGATGGAGGATGGCCTCAAAATTCTTACTGTATATCCCACAGCTCACAGCATCCAGGCAGGTTAATTAAATGACTGATGTAAGGTGATAAGGAGAGATAACAGACTTTTATGACCTGGGGAGCACGTACCCTAACTAACAGGGGAAATTGCTCCTCCTTTCCAGCTTGTTAATTGCCACGGGAGACTCTGAATCTGCTGTAATACTACACACATTTTTAAAAGGAGCTTGAAACGTGAATCTTAATGGAGAAGTTTTCATATATATATATATATGTATGTATGTATTTTTTTTGAGACAGAGCCTCAAGCTGTCCCCCTGGGTAGAGTGCTATGGCTTCACTGCTCACAGCAACCTCCAACTCCTGGGCTCAAGCGAGTCTCCTGCCTCAGCCTCCCAAGTAGCTGGGACCACAGGCACCTGCCACAATGCCTGGCTATTTTTTGTTTGCAGCCATTATTGTTGTTTGGCGGGTCTGGGCTGGATTCGAACCTGCCACCTTAGGTGTATGTGGCTGGAGCCTTAGCTGCTTGAGCCACAGGTGCTGAGCCAGAAGTTTTCTTATATTAAAATGTGGGTAACTACATGAATTTAAAAAATTATGGACCAAACCAATCTGTGGACTGAACACAATCTCCCAGACCATCAGTTCGTGATGTGTCCTCTGTGATATAGTCCTACTATAGAGGACTACTAGTCCTCTTCTAGTAGTAGAAGTCCCATGGTTATAACTCCAGGAACCCAGTGTTGTATCTTCAGAGAGTCATTCTTTTGTGTTGAAGTTATTCTTTCTTCCACATACTACTAGAAGGGTTAACCTGGCTTTTTGACTTCCTAGTTACTTAGGGAGAGTGAAATATCAGTTCTTATCTCTATGGAAAGCAAAACTGGAGCCTTGGCAGAAGAGTTGAGTAGGTGATGTGGAGCTACTAAAGTTCAGAGAGAATAGTGGACCAAAGCCACCAAGTTAAGGGCTTGTCTCTTCCTGTTTGAAAAGGTCAAAATTCCTTGGAAGGGCCAGGTGCAGTGGCTCATGCCTGTAATCCTAGTAGTGGGAGGTTGAGGCTGGAGGAGTACTTGAGCTTGGTAGTCTGAGACCAGCCTGAGCAACAGCAAGACCCTGTCTCTGCTATAAATAAAAAAAACTAGCTGGGCATTGTGCCTGGCACCTGTAATCCCAGCTACTCAGGAGGCTGAGACATCCTCTTGAACTCAGGGAGTTTGAGGTTGCTGTGAGCAAGGCTGACATCATGGTACTCCAGCCTAGGCAACAGAACGAGACTCTGTCTCAAAAAAAAAAAAGAAAAAAAAAAAACCAATTGTACTGATCCTACATATTTTATAGAGTCTCCAAAAATCTCATTCTCCATAGTAAATATTAAGAAGAAGCTGCTACAAATCTAATTGATCTACTAGAAAAAAATAGTCTGCTTACATCTTAGCAAAGAGTCATAAAGGGAATAAAGTTTGATTCAATATGCAGGTAAAACTTTGTCATTGTTCACTCTTTAATGGAGAAAGAACATTAATAAATCACCCCAGCAAAGTTGCCTTTTTGATTTACTGCCTGGGTGAAGATGACTACTTAGGTTCATTTTACTCCCATGAAAACTGAGAGTGGTGGATGATATTATGTTAAGAGAGATTAGAAACCTGATTTTACTGACACAGTTTTTCATAGAAATGCTCAACACTAATGAATACATCAAAAACCATACTTTATTTTATGTATAGCAATACAATTTACATATTAAATAACACTATAATAGAATGATTTGATATAGTTTTAAACAGAAGAAAAAAGGGGAAATTTCAGGTTACAAAACCCCTCCCCCCAAATGAATTTAAAAAAAACAACCAAAACCCCACTTTTTCCAAATGGGTCATTGTGACAAATGTGTCCAGTGACTAATTATGTCTAATTCCTATTGCACAAATGGTCAATGGAATTAAAATAAAACCCAACTTTCACAATCACTGCCTCCAAGAAATAACACATGTTGGATTCTTTTGGAATGCAAAGATGGTTCTTGCTATTTCAATACACAGAAAGTTGAATTCACATATCCACCACAAAAAGGAAAAAAAAAAAACTATGACAGAGTTGAAACTAGAAAAAAATTAGCTTTATATGAAAATATAAAATTCTATGATTATATACCATAGATACAAAGTTCCCAGAAGATGCTTACCCAAGCAACAAAATATTTACAGTTTCAATGATCTTAGCTATTTCAAAACGAATTGAAAGAAATACGAGTCAACATGAAGGCTGAATTTTTTAGAAACAATGGCTGCTTGCTAGTTTCAAACGTTCTAACAAAAAAGGAGTCACTACCCCAAATGTTGGAGAGTTGCGACATTTTATAAAATCGACTGTCTCCTTTTCTGGAGATGTTTATTTCTTAAAACTCAAGATAGTTTTCTTGAAATTAATTATCCTCTGTAGAAAATGCTTCCCTTTGCAAATATTTAACAAAAATACTAAAAACAGTTTAACAGCTAAGACAAAGTAGAGGCCAAATATCATTATTACAGCTCCTTCCTATTTGTGGCATGCCTTCTCTCTAGAGATAAGTAAAGCCAGTATCATACGTTAAATGGCAACTAAGGGAAAGTGCAAAGGGGTAAGTGAAATTACAGCTGTTAAAAAAAAAAAAAAAGCAGGCATTTCCCTTCATATAAAAGTTCACTGGCACCATTGGAACATGAACTTTAGAACACAGGAGTTGAAAATGTGTTTTCCAGTATAACTGCTAAATTCTTAAGACAAACTACACTTTGATTATTTTTTCTTAAATTATGATGATTTGGGGTTTTTTTTGCTTAGAATTAGTAACATGTATCTTTGGTAAATTGATATCTATATTTTAATTTTAAATATAGCATTTAAGAAAAAATTCATAACAAGGCAGTTGTGCTGTGTCATTAAAAAATAAGGTTATTTATTGATTTCAATGTCACTCTGGGCTAAAACCCCCCAATATCCAGACCTTGAACACCATCACCCTTTGACCCCAGCTGGACTCTTCTACTTGAAATGGACTCTTAGAGATCCAAGGCATAAAAATTAGGAAAACCAATGAACTAATCTTATTCTTCTTAAAATCCAGAAGTTAGCTTTTTCTGTTTTTAGACTTAAAGGCAATATTGTGGCTATGGGATGAAAGAAAGAGTTCTCCTGATGGCAGCAGGTGTCTTTTCTCTGATGTCCAGCATGCCCACTTAGATCATTATATTCAATTTTGTATGATGTATTCATTATGTTTGCCTAGAGATAAATTCCCACACAGAAACAGCTTATTTTATCAAATAGCACACATGAATTTGCAATAGCTATTTCATTTCCCTTTAGGTACACGTGGTGATAATCTTGTACCTAAAGGGAACATTTTATAAAATTGACTGTCTCCTTTTCTGGAGATGTTTATTTCTTAAACAGTGTGCTTATGTCTCAAAGCAAACACCATCTTTGAAACTCTCTGCCTCTGGAAAGATGCAAGCACAGTTTTGCCAGTAACAAATGAATAATAGTAGTGCGGATATGCTCTGTGGTGAAAGTGCAGAACTGCTGACTATAACCACCCTTAGTGTTCGGACTACTGTGGCAAAATGGGCAAGTAACTGCTCCTAGTTCACTGGGTCAAAATCTGTAACTTTGGTTCAAGCCTGCTACAGACACAGACTGCTCACAGAGAACTTCTAACCTATCCTTATTATGTCCCTATCCTATTTACTAGCTGTCTCTTTTATGATGATTGTGATACTTTGTAAGAGATAGTCACAGAATTGCACTGGAGGGTATATATCTCCACAAATTGAGCCCTCTGTAGAGAGTACAGAAGGGAATACTTGTTATTTGTCTTCTAACCAATGTTTACTTGTACTAAGCAAAAACTGAGAGAGGGACCATGAACCCTAACTCAAACACCACTTTTGAACACCAAGACCACTTTGCCATCTACTGAAAAGAGTTAGCTTATATATTAATGCTCTGTAAAACTAAAACCACTTAATTGACTTAAAAAAAATCTACCCTTTTCCCTCCTCAATTTCCTTCGATGCCTGGCAGCTGTAGTGCTCCTGTGTTCAAGCTTTTCTTGTGTTCAGTAGAACATCCTGTGTCACCTCAGAGGGGCTGTAAAGGTGTCTGTCATCTAGCACACATACAACTTAGCAAACTTTGCTTACTTGAACACCTTTTCTCAAGACTGGCCTACATAATTCTTGAAAAACAGACTATTCTGGGTTGTTGAATCTTGTGATAAAATGATGAGATTAACCCTGGTAAGTTATGTAATTCATAACTTGGCCTGTACATTTTCTGTCTTTAGGAAATTTGGTCTTCCTGCAGCACCATCCTGACAAACTTCATAGAAAACCAACTCAGGATAAATAGACCTTCAGGGGTGATCATAATTTATTAATGTTTAATGCCTACTCAGATAGTATAATAGCAGCCTGGGTGGCTTTTTCATTGAAATTCATTGACATAAAGAATAAACCCTGTTCTTCTTAACAGGTCCAGATCTGGTGATGATTTTACTTCTGATAGAACCTATCCCTCAAAAGCAAACACACAGTGGAAGAAACAGATTTCAGTAAGTAGCTTATTTTTCTAACAGATTCTACCAAAGTTTCTATTAATGCTCCTAATTTTCCCATTATATACTACAAGGTGAATATGATTTCCTAGAGTGGAACAAATAACTTCCTTGGGCTCTCTAATGCTTATCAGCATTTTTTACTGAAGTGTATCTGTTCTTAACACTAAACCACACAAAAGCCTATAAACCCATCTCCCTTTAAACTACTTGACAATGTAGGTATTACCTTTTATTCAAGATTTTAATGTTTTCCAAATTAGATTTATCCATGTGTGGGATTTTATATTGTCCTAAGACTTTTGCTAATACAGCATTTCCAAATTAATCTTAAGTAGAAGAATATATGTTATTAAGAGATTTATTATGAAGCATTTGGCAAAAAAGGAAAGAAAAGATTAACTATATAGGTAGTTTTTATTAGATTGCTATGAGTAATAGGGAATTTTTAGAAGACTAGTTTCAAAATTACACACCTGTAAAAATTTTCATTCTTCTACCTGGCATAAGGTATGGGATTATAAACCCAGAAGCATTAATGGAGAGTAACTAAAGGGTCTCGTATCTGAGTTGTGTAAAATATTGCCATCTTTTTATTGTAAAAGCCCTGATTTTAGGGCGTAGCTATTTCAGAGAGTCAAAATGGAAAGAACACACACTGTCCACATATCTACTGTGAAAGCTGTAATACAGAGTTATTCTTTATTTTGACACATTTTTGTAAGCCGTGAATATAACTTTGTAACTAATCAATGTCCACATGAAGCAACTCTTAAGCCTTCTAACTTTTTACTGCATCTCTTAGCCATCCTAAATGGAACTGTTTCAAGGCCATGACGTTAACAGGCCTTCTCAGTTAGCTCCCAGTAGCCTGCTAGTCTGTAAAGAAAACAAGGCTCATCCACACCACTAAAATACAGAAGGCATACAGCATTGAACAGTGCCTAAAAAAATAGGAGGACCAAGGAAAAGAACAGCATCGCCTGCTAGTAGAATGCAACTGTTTCAGCAATAATAATAATGATAATAAAATCAAGGTTCACTATCATAACAAAGACCTTCACTGTACTGAACTAAAAAGTAGCATGTATGTTGTCATGGAATGTCACATCAGGGCTTGCTTTAGTATTAGATTATAGGCAATAACACTGATCATACACGCATAGTGCAAACTAGGTAAAATCGCGTTTCATGGTGTGAAATGAACAGAGGGGCGAATGCTCAGTAGGATACCATTAAGACATAAAATGGCAAAAAATAAATATCAAAACTTTTATCAGTGTAAAAAAGTAATTGGGTTATTGTATAACCTAGAGTCTGGCAAAAAAGGCCTCAAAAAAGTTCTCAGTTTTCAGAAGTTTACAAATTAAGTGCCCTTTCAGGATTCCAGTCACACGAGAGACTCCATGCTCTCGGCAGGGTCTGATTCATCTGCAATTAGAACAGCACCATTTTTGTCCACTGTCATGGGACCATTTCCATTTTCTTTAGTGCTGACCAAGCTGAGCATTGCCTTATAGACAAATTGGTATTGTTCCTGAAAAACAAGAGGAAGACAGTTTGAGCCAAAGAACAGCTTAGTCCGGTCACTTAGGGTAGAAATGTCAATTAAAAATCTTAAGTGTGAGAAACAGGAAGAGCATAAATGTTATGTGAGCAAATTAAAAAACCACTTGAATCCTTTATAATCAAGACATAGCTTCTTCATATCCTTCTGATCTCTGTCAGCTTGGAATCAAGCCTCAATGTTGACAGTTCATAAGATAATGGTGTGTCCATATCTTATAATTAGGGAATAGCAGGCTGTACAGCAGGGCTTCTTAGCCTCAGCACACAGGCATTTGGGGCAGGATGAGTCTATGTTGTCGAGAGTTGTCTTGTGTACTTAGGTTGTCTGGCAGCACCTCTGGCCTCTACCCACCAGATGTCAGAGCAACTCTCTCTGTGCACATTGTGACAACTGAAAAAGTGTCCAGACATGGCCCAAAACAACCCCCTCTCCCCCACCCCCCTCCCCCAGCCCAGTGAACACTGCTGCTCTAAATAGTGAATCTGAATTTCAACTGATGTTGGATGGATTTTACAGATAAGCAAATTACTTACAATGTCTGTGAATACTCCAGGCCTCATAAGATTAATCATTTTTGCAACCTGGAAAACATCCACAGCATTTTCATTCTCCAGTTGCTGGGACAGGGTAGTAAGGGCACATAACATTCCTGCTGAAACTGCTCCATACCTGAGGGAGATAAAAACAAAGATGTGATTCCAGATTTACAAAGGGACTGAGTATGTTGGAATGAAATCACCATCATGTATTTTCATGGAAAACTAAGTAGATTATGTTGACATTTATTCTAGAAGACGAAAATGAATGACATGCTGGATAGGAGGGGGTTTGGGAAACTAGCATAAAGGTGAGATTTGTTTAGGACTGTCAAATATCCCAAACTGGCTCATCAGATGTTTAGTTTTATATCTGTGGTGAAATGAGAGGGTCAAACATGGACTTAGGAGAGCTATAGAAGGTGTGGTAATAGGAACGACCTGGGTGGTACACCAGGAAAAACAATAGAAGAGAACCTCCAGGCCACTGGACAAACAGCCAGTAAGGAAAGGCTCTGGAAGATTTTTTCTTAAAGTCTCATAGAGCTAAACTGAACTTATAAAATATGAAAAATAAAAAAATGGAAATAGATGGCTCAAAAAGAAGTCAGAGAATTTTCAAAATTAGTTTCATGTTAAGTAATTATTTTTGGCACCGAAGTGGAACTGCCTTCTATAAAATCCTTAGAAAAATAAATATGGTTCTCTTTGCTTCACACACATAAAAAAACGCTTAGAAGGGTAGTAGTAGACTGTTTTTATCAGGGCCAGGTTGGCAACTTCAGTTTTCATAGGGATCTGTGACGGCATGTAGCCTCCATACTAGTGATGAGAAAACAGATGGATTAAATGAATTGTTCAAGGTAGTGTTGCTGACTGGTGGCAGATATGAGACCAAGCTTCAGATAGCCTGTGCCCACTGTTCTCTGAAAAATAAGTCAATATGTAGGCTCTGAATTTATTCTTACATGAAATAAAAAATGACCCATTTTATGTTTTTAATACAAATAAAACCACAGTTCCCATAAACTCCCACACCAATTTTACAGCCAAACTCTTCAGAGGTAAAAACTGTTACACGTCTAGGTACAGCCTTCCAGATTCAAGTTTATCACTATGTTTCATCATGATGCAGCTCATCATTTTACCTGCCGCATAGATCCCGGATTTATTCACTTCCCTACTCATGCATATTTATCTTGTTTGTATCTCGTGCACATTAGCATAGGTACCCTGAGTAGAAGAGCTGGGGTCAGAGGCACGCACATACTCAGTTTTAAGTCAGGGTTGTAGTTCTTCCCCAAGGAGATATTTATGCTCCTCCCATATCAGAATTCTGGTTTCTCCTCATTTTAACTGTAAGTGCCTGTGCCACCTGACGGGTGTGAAAGGTTGTATCTTGTCATTGTTTTAATTTGCATTTCCTTGATTACCAGGGGAGCTGAATATCTTTTTATGTTTATAGATCATTTATATTCCCTTTTCTGAAATTGCCTAATATACTTTGGATACTTTCCTATTAAAAAATGGATTTTTAGGAGTTATTTTTTCTGTTATCTATAGTACCTGTTGTAGGAATTTTTACCAATCTCTTCTTCTCTTATTATTGTGGTCATTTTTGTTACAACAAAGTACAGTTTAGATGTAATTAAGTTTATCAGTCTTATTTTTGGCTTCTTTGAATCTTATTTGACAATGCTTTCCCTAGCCTTGAATTTTAAGAATATTCTTCTACATTTTCTAGTTTAATTTTTTAATATTGTTCATTTTGTCTGATCTTTTCTTCTTATTTGGATGTAAGAAAGGGATCTGATTTTAGTTATTTTTCAGTTATTTAGGTCTGATCTTTTCTTGTTGACGTGAGCTTCCCTTTTATCATATAACAAATTTTGATATTTGCAGACCTATTTCTGAACTTTATTTTGGCCCCACATTTGGTTTTTTTTTTTTTTTTTTGGTACCTTTCTACATTTCATTCCTTGATAAATTGTGATATCTGGTAAAGCAACTTTCCAACATAGTCTTAGGCTTTCATATTGTTTTTAGTGTTTCAAACATATATAGAGGGTGTCAAAAAATTATACATACATTTTAGGCAATTACAATATATAATATACAAGATAACAAACATTACTGATCTATATTGAGTATTACAATGTTAATGCAGTTTTTTCTTTTCTTAAAATGTGTATTACTTTGGGGAGCTTCCTTTATATTATTAATTTTCATTCTTTACTTGTACACACATTATCAAATACCTCTAACCTTATACCCCACTTTATCCTGTTTCTTAGTAATTTTGAAGCCAGATTGTCAAGGAACACAAAACTTTGTTGGAATTTTGATTAGGTTGCATTAAATATATAGATGGATCTGAGGAAATTAACATCTTTTCAATCTGGAGCTTTTCTGTTCACGAACATGATGTCTTTTCTCCATTTATTCAGGTCTTTTATAGCTTTAACTATGCTTTATGATTTTCTTACTAGTCTTTGCCAGTTTCATTTTAGGTTAATTCCTAAGTCCTTTGGAGTTTCTCTTACCCCTAAGAATGGCCTCTTCCTGTGACATTGTCTGGTTCCAGTCGATGTCTAGGAAGGTTACTGATTCACACGTGGTGAACCTGGTGCACCTAGTCGCACACAGAATCCTATTTAAGTTCTCATAGTCTGCCGATTCCTTAGGTAGCTGGCTCTATCTTTATTTGTCAACAATGCCTATTTTGCCTCTTTTCAACTTTTATACTTGTATATTTTCCTTTAACTGTGTTGGCTGGAACTCAGTTTTCCATACTAGGGCGGACAGCAGATACCATGTGGCATTAAAGGTCCAGCTTCTAAATTCTTAAGAGTAAATAAAAATATTTGGTATACAGACTTCTGGCAAATAAAAGTCCCTCTACTCGTGTCCTAAATTCATGCACAGATTTTTGGTAATATTTGGCCAACTATGTAGCCTTCATTTAGTTACATTACTAAGATAAATTTCAATTTTTTCATGACATGTAATTCTTTTTTTTTTTTTTTTTTTGAGACAAAGCCTCAAGCTGAGCCCCTGCGTAGAGTGCCCTGGCTTCACTGCTCACAGAAACCTCCAACTCCTGGGCTCACGCGAGTCTCCTGCCTCCGCCTCCCAAGTAGCTGGGATTACAGGAGCCTGCCACAATGCCCAGCTATTTTTTGGTTGTAGCCATCATTGTTGTTTGGTGGGCCTGGGCTGGATTCGAACCCGCCACCTTAGGTGTATATGGCTGGTGCCTTAGCCGCTTGAGCCACAGACGCCGAGCCATGACATGTAATTCTTTAATTATAACATACTGGGTTTTATTAGACAGTGTTTTATTTACATTTTTTGCATTCATATTCAACTAAGTATTGGCCTTTTCTTTTCCATTCTGGTGCTGCCCTTGTTTGTTTAACCTGAGGTAGCATTAAATCCCCTCTCCCGTAAACACAGCCTTGACAGGAGGTGTGGGCCCTAACAGTTGGAGAACTTTTTCTTTTGTTCAGTTCTTGGTAATCACTAACATGTCCTGTACTCTGACTATCTGCCAAGTTCTCGCCTAGGTATTTTACATGCACCAATCTGAGCCTCACAATAACCCTATGATGTGGGTGCTATTATTGTCTCCATCTGAGGCTGAAGAAATTAGGTCCATTCAGGTGAGGTAACTGGCCAAGGTCTCATAGTGAGCCTAGAGCTTCAATTTGAGCTGATACATATAAATGGCTCAGAACAGAGATATACTCAATAAATGTTACTTTATTATGGTTTTATCTAGGCTTAAAGTTTATTAGTATAAAGTTATCATCTCAAATGCTTGCTTTTATTTCCTTTAAAATGTTACTTTATTTTCTTTATCTTTTTATTATAGGACATGTTAAACCCACACAAAAGCAGAATCCTAACCTTTATCAGCCCCTGGTCACTCTTGTTTCATCTTTATTTCCTCCCCCATATATTTTGAAGCAAATCCTAAGTATTTTATTCAAAATTATTTTAGTATGAAACCTTAAAAAATAAGGACTTTAAAAATGGACATATTAATACACCTAAACAAACTAACAATTCTCAAATGTTTTTACTGTAACTCCAGATATACTGTAGATTTGTTTTCCTCCGAATTTTTTTTATAAATAGTCTGACTCTGTTTCCCTACCCAGAGTGCTCTGGTGTCAGCCTCGCTTCACAGCAGCCTCAAACTTGTGGGGTCTAGCAATCCTGCCTCCGTCTCCCAAGCAGCTGAGACTATGAGCACCTGCCATAACACCTGGCTGATTTTTCTATTTTTAGTACAGATGGGGTCTCGCTCTTGCTCAGGCTGGTTTTGAACTCCTGAGCTCAATCAGTCTTCCCACCTTGGCCTCCCAGAGTGGTAGGATTATTTGTGTGAGCCACCAAGTCCAGCCTTCTTAATGTTATGACATTTTAAATATTTATCCTCATTATATTTTCCAACGTTGCATTTTTTTATTAGATTTTACTGTTTCCTTCCAGCCTCCACTTCACTACTGTTTGCTTTTTTATTTTTTAATTCCTTAGATTTTTTGGTGGGTTTGTCTAGTTCTTTTTGTGACTTCTTGATTTGAAAGCTTAGTTTGCTTATTTTTAATCTTTTCTCTGATACAGATAGTAGTTTAGGCTGTAAATTTTTCTGAGTATAGTTTGGCTCCATCCTAGTAGGTTTTGAAATCCATCAAAGTATTTACAATTTCTGTTTTGGTTACCTTTTTAATGTGTGAATTATTTCTAAGCAGTTCTATATGTAAAGATTTTAATTTCTAGGTATAAGGATTTGGGAATCTTACTTTTTGTTGGTTCCTAATATTAATGCATTCTAATAAACCAAAGTGGCCTGGGGTATTTGTTTTGGGGAAATACATTGAAATTCTATTTATGGTCAGTTTATATAAATAAACCGGTTGTGTTTGAAGAGACTATAGGTTTCTCTCTTAGGTACAGACTTCTTTATATCACTGTTAGGCTTTTTAATTGTGACATTCAAATCTTCTCTCTGAATCTTACTGGTGACATGTATTTCAGTTTGAGAACTCAACACTTTATTTCATCCTTAGAAACCTCAGCTGTTATTTCTATTTGTTCTGTCTTTTGTCTCTTCATGCTTCACTTCTT